TGACATCACACAACTATTTTAAAGTTCTGATATGTCTCAAATCTTCTATTTGTTTGTGTGTTTTTAACTTTGGCTCCTTCAGACGTATTGAAAAAAACAACCCCCTTATCGTCTGCTTGAGATAAAGTGTCCATGGTAGAGTTCCAGATTTTTATACCTCACAACAGCAGGTGTCAAGTGCTGTGTGGCAGATGTAAAATGTTGCCCCCTACTTCACTTCAGTGTTGTTATATTTTTCTGGTCCTTCTGGATAATTGATGCCAGCACTATTAAGTGTTGAGAATTGAGTACCGCTCAAGCCGGTGTTAGGGGGCTTCAGGGATGTTGCATTTATTCATTATCCCTCATGTACAGACTCAATCAAACCGAGTCTGCAATTCCCTTGTAATTTTGTTGTTATTGATGCTTACGATGGATCGCTTTGTTTCCAGATTTCTTTAAGACTTGTGTTCGAATCTCTAAATTCCGTCAGTACTGTTAGGTAGAATTTCACCGCTGTGCACCAAGAAAGAAAGTGTTATGCTCTTGCCGGCTTTAGTATTTCTTTGCTGAATTCCTCTTAGAGGTCTCTACTCAAGTTATTTCTGGACACAAACGGTGGGAGTGTGGCTCGGATGTGGCTTAGCTTATTCGCAAGTTCCTAACTTAAGAGTACTTACATATACCTTTACTTAAACTATTTATATTATAAGAAAAAATAAAGAGAAACAAAGAATCCCTAAAGAATAAGATTTAGTAAATTTAAACCTTATTTTTTATTTTATCAGTATTTATCTTAATATATAATTCAAGTACAAATGTTGCTGCAATGAGGCAATTGAGAAGCACGCTCATTACAGATACCTTGCCAAATTATTTCTACGAACACAGGTCATGTTATATTCAGATAAAGTTCTATTGAAGATTTTTTCCGAATGTTTTGTAAACCAATTTTTGCATAATTATACTTATCTTATGAACAGTCCATAATTTAAAAGATAGGCGAGATATTTAATTTGGAAAAAATGCTTTCACTGATGCCTACCTGGTAAGGAAAGTAATTCCATTGAATACAAACAAGACTTACAAGGTTGCGTTCATTGAACGCCGCCTTTCCTTGTTGATCTTGTTTATCATATTTTGTAAATGTTATACGACATGACTGTACTGTGTTCTGTTTGTGTCACTACTGTTTTCAGATACATAAGATGATAAAAATATCAAAGTATGTTTTTTTTTATTATTATAATTGTAACAAATATACAAATAGTAACAAAAGGGGCTAATTTTATAATATAGTAACATTTCATGCATTTTTTTCATGTCAAATTGAAAAAAATGGTTTCTTTCAATACTGGTAGAAGACTGTTACCTGAATTTTAGGCAGGTATGAGGAAGTTCACTAACATCATGTTCGAGCGAGTCAAAGATATAAAAGTTACTTGACATTGGTGATATATAAACAGCTATTGTTAATTGATTTATTGGGAGATAAATATAATTATTTGCTGGATTGCCTTAAAACAATTCATAAAAAAACAATACACCTCATGTTCAAACTGCAGATCAATGTTTCTGTTGTTACCAATGATGCGTTCTATCTATCTATCTATAGCCTATATTTAATGAGGGTCCATCCGCCCGTACGGGCACTTTATGTAGCTTTCGTTGTCAGTACAGATCCCGGACATGTCACCAAGCACAACGTGTTGATAATTTACATCCGTGCATTACCAATGATGTCAATGAAATGTAACCTTATATACTAACGTTATCATTATTTCAAAACAACCAATATATCAACATATTATTATTAAACATTTAGAGTCATAAATATAAATTAGGAATAATTATCAAAAGCAAATTATTAAAGTCTTATGCCTGAAATCTTCTTTATATTGACAAATTTAATCTCTAATAGTATTCTTGATGATATGCTGTGTGTAAATGTAATTCAAAATTTAACAAATTATAATTTCATGTACTACTGAAAAGGGAAATTACAAATTGTCAATAAAAGTGTCAAAATCAGAACATTTATAGCTATTTATAGCTTTCAAATATTCCTGTACAGCAGAACTGCTTTCCGGTTCGTATTTATTAATATGACATGCTGCGAATCACCAAAGGGGGAACCAATTTAATAATCGGAAGGTTTTATTGAATCCGAATTTATTTTTAGCTGTAAATCGAAGTGATTTATTGATAAAATCCAAGCCCATGGACAAAAAGTAGTAAACACAAATAGGCGGGGAGCAATTAATAATAAATCCTAACTTTCAAAATGTCAGCAAAACACATATGACATGACAAAGTCCAAACAACAATTTGAGTAGTGTAATTTTTAAAAGTTTGATTTGTGTTAAAAAGCTTAGTGTAATTAAGCTTAAAATGCAAACAAATCCGTCAGCAAGTCTTAGTTTAAACCATAAAGTCGTTATTTCAAATGATAACTTTTACTTTAAAGCTACATTAAATAAATATGTAAAAATATTTTTGCCGTCGGCCTAAAAACCAAGCATTCTACAGTTTCATTAACTTTTTAACAGTATCGTTGTACATTTCTTCAAACATTGTTTATAAATAAGGATTTTAAATGGAAAACTCCACGGTAACACTAAAGTTCGTATACGAATTTTAACATGCAAATGAAGACTATACATGTAATCAGCTCGTGTATGCACTACGTCACGTTGTTATAGTTGCTATCCGGAACACAGCAAATATATGATTTTCTTGTGCAAATACGCTTTAACCGTTTAAACTTCACGGTGCACTAGGTTCAGAAAAAATGATAATCTCATAAAAAGATAAAATTTGTATGAAAACATCCGTTACAATGCGGAAATATACCGTTAAATTAGGACAGCTATTTATAATCATGTTTGTTGATTTAACATTGATGTACGGATGATCTGAAGGCGGAGTTACTCATACAAACAGAAATTGTATATCCGAATTCGCCACAATGAGGTTGCACATTTGTATACTCATTAAACTCATTTTGGTTGTCTGAACACCAAAGTAAGATCTGGAGTCGATATGAAACCAAATTTATTAATGAAATGTCGCTATTTCTTTTTTATAAATGTAACTTTAATTGTCTGAAAAAAGATCTATTCATAAATGCACAGACAAAAAAAACAACTTTAAGTTGACTAACAATGCAGAAAAAACTACTTTCAAAACTCAAGCGGAAGTCTCAGAAACTTCTTCTATTATGCACAGATGTCAAAATACATGTACTACTTTGTTTACATTTTGCTACCTTTATAGCAAATAATTTTATACTCAGCACTACTTTTTCAGATGCTAAATACTCTATATCTATTATTAAAATATAATTGAACACATGTGTGTCATTTCTATAGAATTAAACAAATATTGATTTTTGAGGCATAATGTCTTTAAGTATTGATAGAAATCGTCCTGTCAAGACTGAAAGAAAATATAAACTTAGTTAAGTGTTGTCATCACTAAACGGTCACATTTGTACTTACTATAATTACGTAAACATTTAAGGCATTTAATCTGTATTTGTAGTACTTACAGACGAAAGTCAAGTATACTGCAGTTTAATGACAAAGTGTTTTTTAGTACATGTATTAATAGTATAATATACTACTTTTGTTGTCTATTACAATTCATCTGACTTACAATTTAAAATTGAGTTAACCAAATAACATAAGTGGGAGATAAATATTTTGAAGTTTAGAAAAAAATCGAAAAACATTACAAATTCATAAATTCTCTCTGGAAATTTATTTCCATGTGACCGATTTCTATCTAAAGATATGAAATACATTTCATCTACAGTTAAGGTTGAAACAAAATCTAGACATGTATCATGTTTATTCATGTCCTGAATATCGTGTATTATACGTCTATTTTTTTTACTAATAACTTTATTCTTTCCAAATCCTCTAGTTATTTCGTCATGCATAATAAGTGTATTTAATTTTTTTATGAACAGGAAATTTGGATTCAAATACTCCATGCGTCAAGAAAAAAACAGGTAATGATTACTTGTATTTTTTATGTTTAAAGCAGCACGCCTCCATAATCATGCTGTTTTTCATGAAAACTTTGAAAATGTGTTTAAAAGTATTATTTAGTGAAATAACCAAAAGGAAGCAATTTGCACGTTATCAGTGGCACTTACAACCCAATTAGTAAAAAGGGGACAGAAAATATCAAAAATAGCCCTTACTGCGTTAGTAACGCAGTACAAACTTTGTTTTATTACATGCTTTTCGATGGTTTATAGAAATATATCAGTGAATTAAAACTGATACTTTCACTGTGTGAAACAGTGAAATTATAAATTTGATAATTTCACTGTTTTGAATTTAAAATTCAGTGAAATATCAGGGTACACAGAACTAGAAACCAACTTAATAACGTGACGTCGTAAATAACGTCACGTTGTATAATTATTTGGCGAGCTATTCATTTATTATTAGGTAAAATTGTCCTTTTTAACGTTTGATTGCATGGAATAAAAATGTGAACACCAAAAGTTTACATTTCACTCGTGGCTGCGCAACTCGTGAAATATACCTTTTGGTGCTCACTCGGTGAAATATATTCCGATCTTACACTGAACTTAACAAACATCCTCTATATCATACTGAAAAATCAGTCGTTAATCGCACATAACATGTACGTATATTATTATTTGAATCGTTTCCGAAAAGTTTTCGCTCATCTGGAGGCATGCAGCTTTAAAGCTTGTCAAATTATTGCTGTATCCTTACATAAGCATGCATGGATGTACAATATATTTACAACTATTCAAAAAAATCTTTAAAGTAATGCATTAAGGGAAACCAAATGTATGTCCCACACAGTTTTGTGTCGCACATGGTTAGTTATGGAAACTGTAAATTGGGCAATTATGATGTAGTAAGAATTTCAGTTTTGTTTACACAAATAACTATATTGCAAAATTTTCCGGAAGCGCACGTGATACCATTGTTCAAATTTGTTATCAAATATTCTCAATTTTGTTCATTTTCCATCTTTCTTTCAGCAAGTTTGATAACACTCATCATATTATCTTAACCGGGAATATTTTTTTTTACTATTTTTATTTCAGTTGCAAACATATGTCAATTTTCGGAGATAGCCAATACGTCAAAGGCCTTCGTCTACATTTTAAATTCTCCTGGACAGAATAAACGAACGTGCACATGCTCTTTATCACCGACATCTTCAAATGTTAGGATTGAACTTAGATACCGGGAACTCACACGATCAACTGAGAATATCAATCTCAAAATCAACGATATTGTATTTGATACAAATCACACAGTTACAACCACAGTCTTATCAGAAAGAAATGAATTGGTACTGAACACGAATCCGGTGTTAAATAAAAGTGAGGAAGTTTGCCTATTAATAACTGCAGGTAACATATTTTTTTCATTACAAATATTTTCATTTTTCTCTCAATATTCCATCATTTTACTCTCAATATTCCACAGGACGCTATTGCTAAATTTCGCTCCGTAATTTTATCTTACTTTCCAAATTTAAAAATAAAATACATTTCTGTGGCAGAATTTCATAAATATACATATAAATAATTTATACAGAAATTCATATTGGGATTTTTAAAAAAAATGTCATTTTAGCATGATTTGAGTACATAATATCATTGCCTTAGTATCCCTTTAAAAACGAAAGTTGCATAAATCAAATATGTGTGCAGTTTAATCATACCACAGACCTGCATTTCTCTCTCGAAAATTTCCTACCAAATTTAACAATCTGGTTGTAAAATTAAAGAATATATTCTCCGCACAAAATTTATGATTTATTGTTGATGAATGTTTACCTTTAGATGTATTGACATGATTACAATTATAGATGTATAACTTTTGAAATTTTTTGACAGATTTTTGACAGCTTTTGTTTAGCGTGAAATTACGTATGTACATATTACAACACAAAATATTTATTTCAACTTTCATATTATCATACAGTCGAAGAAGATAGAAGATTCAATATATCTTGTGAGTATCCAAAGTCAGACGCTACAGATTCGGACACTAACATAGTTGGTAGGTATAAAAACATGAATTATTCTAGTAAGATTTTGACAAACTTTGAATGTTTCTGTTTCCTGTACAGATCTGATATACATTGATATACATCCAGGTATGGTGAGAAACCTTATCAGGCCTAATTATTTCTTCTTACCAACGAAGGCGGATGAATTTAAATTCTTACTAAAGGATAGAATTTTATAAAGTTTTAAATAAATGTTAAGGGTGTAGGTGATTTGATAGAAACTTGTCTAAAATGTAAATTGATGCATGACATATGTCCGGTTGTGCATATGTGGGTTCAACATCCATTTGCGGAGTGAATTGTTGGGAAATTATAACTTGTCAGTTTTTAAGCCTATTTCGAGCTACTTTTTAACATCTACTTAACGTCGAACCGGGACCTTCGATAAGAGGAGTGGGAACAAATAAGTATGAGACGAATAGCAGTTCGATTTGTCTCAAAATTTATTCGGTATTACTCGAACAAAAATAATTTTGAATTTAAGTCAGAAAACATACCAATTTCTTGATATAACGTCCTGAATATGGATGTTTTACCATAACATGAACTACCAGAAACCTACAGCACTTTTCAATCGCAGTTTATTTCTTTGGTTGTGTTTTTATGTCGCAACAATATGGCGACTTTCCAGCTTAACTGGTGGAGGAAAACCTCGGGTGAACCGCCTCCGTGGTCAAGGGGTAAGACTCGATGACTTCTTATCCAGTAACCTCTCTGGCGTGGGTTCGATCCCCGGGAGATGCTTTAGTAGTTTAGCGCGAAGGAAGGTAGTCTAGTACTGGTGTTACTCTCCAGAAACGATGGTTAGGAAACCACCCGCCTATATGACTGAAATACTGTTCGGAAAAGATGAAAAATGAAACAAAAAAACCTCGGTGCCTCTCCAAGTATTATTATAGGCACGAACGGGGACCCGATGAGATTCATCGACGTTCCGTTAGCTAGCCTAATAACTTCCTCAAATAAAAAGTCCAAGTCCCTGGTGGGATTCGAGCCCAGAGCGATGAGGGGGTGGAATTTTGTGCTACTGATGTTGTTGTTTAACCCTCATATGGACCGTCAGAAAGAAAACTCTTAAGCCACAATGCGTTTTTGTTGGTCCTGTGATATGGATATTTATCGCTTTACCCCACTCACATAAACCGAAGGCTAAATTCGGTGATCGCAGACAAGATTTACACAACAGATTCTGATCAATCCTCACATAACTGAACAAAAAAGCGTTAAAAAAAACGTTAAAAGTTCTGCAACTTTTTCTTTTACCCTTCCGGTATTTAAACGAAACCATAATTCTGATAATTTTCAAATTTCAATACAAAGTAAACAATTGTGTAGACCATATATTTCTGCAAATTTTGATACCAAATTTGCTACTTTTTGCACAAGTACATACACGTATACATACTTTCCAAATAACCGAATGCTATCTTTTGCAAATGAGTATACATGCAGTTACTCAATATGCTACTTTTATCATAATTATCAATGCACCGTCATTTATATCAGATAGCGCTTGTCAATGTTGATAAAGAGAGAAATATATATATAGACTAAATATCTGTTATTCATAATTATGCTTCCGCCCTGTTTGACAATGAAACAATTTTCTAATCATGAAATTTAATTAAACACAATTTGGTAACATTTTTGTTGAAACATTAAAACGAACACGTTTGCAATTAACAAAACATAACATTAAAGGCCCATTATACTTCAGAAATGCTTTATTGTATGTGTCCTGTTATAATTTACTGACCAATTACATAAACCATCTTATACTTGTGTGACTGTTTGGTAATTAGTACAGTTAAAGCGGATTCAGATTTTTGAACAGGTCAAAATACTACTTTGTTTAAATTTTGCTACTTTTGTAGGAAATTATTTTACACCCAGCACTACATTTTTTTAGATGTAAAACATCTTATATGCTCTAGAAATATTATTAAAACATAATTAAACTCATGTTTGTCATTTATAAAGAATTAAAAAATATTGATTTCTGAGGCATTATGTGCCTTTAAGTATTGATAGAAATCGTCCTGTCAAGATGGAAAGAAAATATAAACTTAGCTTAGTGTCGGATATATTTGTACTAACTTTAATTACGTGAACTTTTTATGTATTTATTCTGTAATTGTAGTACTTACAGACGAAAGTGTTGTGTAGTTTGGAAAAAAATCAAAAGCCATTTAAACTTCATATTTTCTCTCTGGAATATTAATTTCCACGTGACCTAATACTATCATAAGATGTGAAATGCATTTAATCTACAGAAAGAGTTGAAACAAAATCTAGACATTATCGTGTATCATGTTTATTCACGTCCCGTACATCGTCTATTATACGTTTATTCATTAACTTTCCCAAATCCTCTCGCTATTTTGTCATTCGCAATATTTTTATTTTTTATTTTTTATAAACAGGAAATTTTGATTCAAATACTCGCTGCGGCCAGACAGCACAAGGTAATGATTACTTTTATTTCTTATGTTTAAAGCTTGTCAAATTATTACTAAATTTGATCCTTATATAATCATACAGTTTCGCGTGCTTGATTGTACAATATCAACAACTAATTAATAAAATATTTAAAGCGATGCATTAAGATAAACCAAATATGCCTCACACATGATTGTGCCACGCATGGTTAGTTATGGAAACTGTACATTAATTTTGATTATCATGATATAGTTATAATTTCAGTTTGATTATTCAAAACACCTCTGGTTTAACAGTTTATAAATTTTCATGCCCTGTTTTTAAAAAAGGTGTCAAAACTTTCATGCACGGTAGATACATTATGTGGTCCGCCCGCCAAGTCAGTGTTGTTCGACACTTGACAGGAATGGATGAAAATTTAACTTGCTGAAAACTTGTCAAAACTGTGAATATTTGATTACAGACTATCATATCCTCCAATTGGTATTTTTCTCTGTGACTTTATGTACATTGTTAATAATTAAATGGACATGTCCAGGGCATATTATGAAAACTGGTTGTGGGAAAAATTGATAAAATATAAATAACGTTTCGTGTAAAATTTTCATTCGAAATACTTATTCAATCGCTACTACTCGGCCCTTTCCTCAGTCTTGGGATAACGACCTCGAACACAATAGTATGAATACACAGAACAGATGCAGTATTTCGGTCTAACCTACGCTAAGAAACTAAACATGTAAACAAATAGTAATTTAATGCTGGGAGTTGTTTACAAGTTTATTTCTAGTATATGTAGTAAAAGTCCACCTAAAATAAGTGAATTCATACAATACATTATTTCTATATGTATTATTATGGTTTTAGAAACCGAAAGAACAAAAAACCAACGTGTTGACATTTAGTTGGATTTGTTTAAAATTGAACATCAGTGGGCATATTTAAATTACAAATTATTGTCAGACATATTTTCAAGCAAATGTTACAGGAACAGACATTAGATGTCAAATATATACATTCGTTTTACATTTTATCTGTTTCTGTTTACATCTGAAAGTACGTGGTAGAACTACGTTCAATCCGTATTGTTTCCGAGGTTATTATAGATAATAGCCGAGGCTGTTCCGAAAGACACTTATTTAGAAAGATCAGAGTTTGCTAAACTTTTCACAATAACGACAGAGCATGTGATACTATCGTTCAGATTTGTAATCAAATATTCTCCATTTTGTTCATTTTCCATCTTACTTGTTCGATTGCAGCAAGTTTGATAACACTCCTCATCAAGGTCATATTACAATGAAGTCCTGTAGTAATAATCTGTTTTGTCATTATGTGATAGTACCTGTACAAGCTCGGAAATTATAGATAACAGTAATTTTATGCGGGCGTATTGTTTTTACTATTTTTATTTCAGTTGCAAACATATGTCAATTTTCGGAAATAGCCAACACGCCAAAGGCCTTCGTCTACATTTTAAATTCTGCTGGGCAGAATAAACGAACGTGTACATGCTCTTTATCACCGACATCTCGAAATGTTAAGATTCACTTTAGATACCGGGAACTCACACGATCTACTGCGAATATCAATCTCAAAATCAACAATTATGTATTTGACACATATCACACAGTTACAACCAGAAAGAAATGAATTGGTACTGAACACAAATCCGGTGTTTTACAATAGTGAGGAAGTTTGCCTATTAATAACAGCAGGTAACATATTTTTATGATAACATTCATAACATATTTAATAATTTTACTCTCAATAGTTCACAGGACACTAATGATGAATCTCGCTCCGTAGTTTTTACTATCCTTAACAAATTGATATAATGCAAAGTCAATAATAAAAACAATTTCTGAGACAAACTTTAATTAATTAAAATAAAACGTGCAAATTGGCTAATAATTTTGAAAAATACTCAAAACTACCAGATTTTAAACAAGAGGTTATGGAAAATGGACTATGAATTAGTTTTAGACAATTTATACAAGATGTAAGACAAGCTTAATCATTAAAGTTTAATTTAGCACCTTCAACTCTTTTTTCAAAGATGAAAATTACTATTTTGACGAGTGTTTTGTAGTAGATACAACAGTTTTTCGACGAATTACGTGCCAGTTATCACAAGAACTCCTGACAAGTTATCATAAGAACAGAGTCCCTCGTGTAGCAGTTCCTCCCCTGTGATTTCACTCTAAGTTTAAAATTATTCTATGATAGCAATAAACATAGGCCTACAGTTTAATTATTTTTTTCTGCGTTAAAACACGATTTTGCGTGTTTTTTTTATTATTCAATAAGGTTGTAAATCATTATGAAATATAGTAAGTTCATTCTTTGCACAAAAGTGTGAATGTAATGTTGGACTTGAGTGTCTGCAAAGGATAAACAGGTGATTTAGCGCCAGTAACAATAGTTATCAGAAGAAATCTAGGACAACTTCAAAGTTATCACAAAAACTTTGCATTATTATTATGAAATTGTAATTTTGTATGGCAAGGATAAATATAAGAAATAAACAGGTCAATACGTGCGAATTCTCAAAACTACCAGATTTTAAACAAGAGGCGATGAAATAAGGACTATGGATTAGTTTTTGGAACATTCTAGATAATTTTAATCCTATAGTTCTTAGAGATACTTTCGATGATATTTTATGGATATCGTTAGAACATAAATTTGCTCGCTTGAAACTTATCATATGTACTTGTTACTTGCCACCTGATAATTTTTCAAGACAAATTAATGTGCAGATCTATCTATGATAATTCTATGATCATCTATTGACAGATATTTATGAATTTCAATCACTAAATGATACAATGTTTTTTTTTGGCGATATGAATAGTTGATGTGGAGATCTGTCAGTCTTTATTGAGGGTATTAATCAAATTCAAGAAAAACATGTGGTAGACTATAGTGTAAATAAATATGGTCATTTACAGATTGATTTTTAATGAGTGCTAATTTTTGCATTTTAAATGGTCGCAACTCAATTTCAAATGATAACACGTGTATTTAAAAAAAAAATGGTTGTTCCGTGGTGGGTCATTATTTTGTACCCTATAGTCAACTTGATATTTTTTACTTATTTCTATGTACATAAGAGTAAAGTCTCTGATAAGTCAAATAAATTTGACATGTTCTCATGTTTTGCCACATCATATCCTGATCATTCTATTTTATCCTCAAATAATATTTAGACAGAGGTTATGAAAATGAAGAATTAAAATCTACTACTACACATTTTTCATACCATAAATTTGATGTTAAGAATGTTGATAGCAGATAGTTGATCGATAATTAAAGTATACAAGACCTTCAATGCTATTTTTAAATCAGAAAGAAGCAAAAATTCTAAAGTTGACATTGATAATACTCAGAATATATGTGAAATTATTATAAATGAAAATATTTACAAGCACTTACCACATAGAAATGTTAAAATGTTAACTGGTTGTAATAATAAAAAGAGGAAAATGGTGAAACCCTGGTGGAATGATGAATTGACACAAGCATGGAATGACATGTGCATACATGAGAAACAATGGCTTAAAAGTAAACATGGTCATGAAAAATCTGTTTTAAAAGTTTTGTATGTAAATAATAGAAAGATTTCTGATCATGAGGTACAAAAAGCTAAAAGGTAATTTTGGTTTAAAACCCAGAATGATATTTTAGAAAAAGCAAATAGCAATAGTAATGAGTTCTGGAAGAGTATAGGTAGGGTTAGCATACATTATAATAAACTTATACCATTTGAAGTAAAGACAAACGAAAACGTAATTTCTAAAGATGTAAATGTTGTTTTACATAAATGGAAAGACTGTTTTAGTACTTTGTAAAATGCAAATAATTGTACTCCAGAATATAATAGAAATAATAGTACTGAAAATATTTTTTTTGAAGAAATGTTTTCAAAATATGAAGCAAGAAAAGCTGTCGTAGATGCTAAAAACAATAAAGCTGGTGGTTTTGATAATATACCTATGGAAGTTTAGAAAAATGATAATGCAATTTCCTTTTTACATATTCCTTTTAATACACGTTTTAATACTGGTACCATTCCTTCGGATTGGGGTGAAGGCATTATTAATCTAATACCAAAAGCAAATACTACATATCCTAGTGATCCGTTGAAATATATGTGTATAACTGTTGTCCCAAGCATGGTAATTTATATTATGCAGTTTTAAATAAAAGATTGTCTAAATGGGTTGAAGAAAATAATATTTTAGCTGAGGTTTTAGGAAAAATATGAGCTCAATAGATCATTTATCATCCTTGTCTAATGGTGATAGTCGAATTAAGAAAAAATCTGTCAACATTTTGTGCATATATAGACTATAGGAAGGCTTATGATATTATTTGTAAGAAATCAGCTTTGGTAAAAAAAATTTGATTATGGGATAAAAGGAAAAAAAGTTAAATGTATTAAGATCACTGTATAGTTCAGTAAAGTCATGTGTTAGACTAAATGGTGTAAACAGTGAGTGGCTCAGTGTAAAAACATGCATACGTCAAGGCTGTGGTCTATCTCCAATTTTGTTTAATTGTATATTAATGACTTAGTCGAGAAAATTAAGTTGGAAGAGATGTTGGAATAGATATAGGTGGAGATGATAATTATGTATTATGTATATTGTTATATGCAGACGATATTGTCTTATTGCAGAAAGTAAAATAGATTTGCAGTTATTGCTTGATGTCCTACGCAGATGGTCCAACACTTATAATATGTCTGTAAATGAAACTAAAAGTAAAGTTGTCCACTTCAGGGTAAATGGTATATCATGCAGTAAATTCAGTTTTCATTGTGGTTGTAATGCTGTCAGTATAGTAGATAGATATGTTTATTTGGGTCTTACCTTAACCGAATGCTAAGACTATGGAGTAACTGCAAAGGTTGTTGCACAGTCTGCTAGTAGGGCACTATGTTTACTTATTGTTAGATTTTTAACATTGGATGGCATGCCACATAATGTATTTTCTAAGTTATATGATAATGTGGTATGGCCGGTTATTGCATATGGCGCAGCCATTTGGGGAGAAAAGTCATATTTATGTATTGATGCTGTTCAGTACAGTGTAATGCAGTTACCGATGAAATGGCACGGATATCTCCAATTGCTAGACAGTGGAAATGTGTTAATTATTTTATTGTAAGAATCTACAAAAATTCATTTTTTTAACAAATGGTTTTTATAGATCCAACTGAGTCTGCTTGTTTGTTTATCAAGGTATGTGTTTTCTTTACTGTTTCATAGTAACATGCAAATGTTATTTACATTTTCATTTCTAATGTTTGTAAGTTGTGTTTCGATTAAGAAAACAAAACAAATTAACATATATCATATCATTTTAAAACTTTTTTATAATTGATAAATATTCAGTTAAACTTATACTGACTGCAAACTATTATATGTAATTGACAATTTGTTATTTTAATTTCACATTAAACATACTGATAGAAGACACAACAACAAAATTCATTAAATAAATTGCAATAAATTCATAACAAAAGGAAAGCATTTATTTGCCCTTATTTGAAATCTCATTAGTTCCTTTAAGCCTGTATTTTTTTAATTTGGACGATTTTCTTTCGATTGAAAACTTTTAGTATGGAATGTAACAAAATGTTCAAAATTTATTTCAGAAAATAAATTTAAATCCAAAACCAAGTGAAATTTTTGCTAAAAAAGATTCTTTTTGTCGTTCAGAGTTGCCGCAACATTATATCATCGGCCTACACAAGTCCCCTTGTAATATAATTTCCAGTATCCGAATCCAAAACAGTGATTTTTAAAGCGATAAAAAATCCACTGCCTCTAAAATATGTTGTTTTTTTATTTCTTTAACACGGCATCAACAAATTTAAATGCTGCCTACCTGATTTTATCAAACTAAAATTGTGGCATGATGTTCTGTAAAAAAATAGCGCGTCGCGATTTTTTTAATAGTTTTAATCCTTTACATAAATTCAATGGGAAAAAATGGGGTCATGTTAAAGAATTTCACTATTTTCACATTGTTTAATATTTATTTCCAAAAATTCGAGGTAACTATTTTAACGTTAATAATCAAAACGTCTCCTGGGACATAACTTTGTGGCACATCCTAATTTAAGAAGCAGTATAAAATCGTGATTGAACAACAAAATATATTATAAGAAGAATGGAAACTGGATTCAACATTTCTTGTACGAAGGGCCACAAAATCCGGTAACGGGTTACCCGAGGGAGTTGAAATTTACAGAGATAACTTTAAGAGCCCAAATCATAAATAATGGGTTTCCCTTCACAGCAATAAAATTGCTGGGAGAAACCAAATGTTATAAAGTTTAAATATTCTTTGCCCAACCCAAAATAAAAGTTAAATTTACCAATTCTTTCAAAAAAATTCTAATGTAATTAATTTGATAAGTGTTAGATTTACCAGAAAACCCTAAAAAATGTTATTTCAAGATTCTTTATTGGAAACATACGGCTATTATAAACATTGTTGTTATTATTTAAACTCTTGACCGAAACATTAAATGCTCAAATTTTCACGTTTGTTTTAATATTGTATTTT